TCTTGTATCGATATGTGCAAATATTTTTGGATTTGTATTTATTCCTACATCCATGCACTAAACGTTTTCAAAAGTATAAGTTTATATATATATATGTGTGTGTGTGTGGGTGGGTGGGTGGGTGTGTGGGTGGGTGTATGTAGACTCGTATTTCTAAATTATTCAATTGCGTATGCCGGTCAACTGAGCCTGTTACGCGCAAAGCCATACACTAACGTCTCGTATCCTCATCCTCACAGACACGTTCAATTGATTATCCGGGGAGTGTCATTGGTGTTGATGACTCGTATACATTCGACAAGTTCAAAGACGTAAGTGACGTGAAAGGTCTGGGCCTTCCCTTGACCTGTTGCTGCCGTTTCTGTTCCCAATACGTTTCTGATAATATACTGAGACTGTGGCTGTGCAACTGTGTGCTTGTATATCTAAAGTGTTGCTTTACATTGCGTCCGTCCTTGCATGCTTGAATACTGCTGGCGCCAATTTCGCAAAACTTTGGGTGAGTATTAGCTCGTGAGTATGCCATATAGGCATTTGCATATTTCGTCAGTACACAACTCCTAAAAAATCGGGATTGTCCTATTATATATCGAGCTAATCGGCTTACGCCTTCCCTAAAACGCGCAGCAATTTCGGGTGGATATTATAAAAAAGGACGGTAATGACTTGGAATTCGATCTGGTGGGTGTGGATGCGTCAGTTGCAAATGCCTTCCGGCGAATGATGCTGGTCAATGTGAAGACCATGGCCATAGAGAACGTCTACATTGAAGGTGCGTGTGAAGTACTATAAACCGAGTTTTAAGTATTATAAACGGGGTTCAAGTATTATAAACCAGTTCTAAGTGATTATGTAGTGCTGGTCAATGTGAAGGCCATGCCCATAGAGAACGACTATATTGAAGGTGCGTGTGAACCACCTATACACTCATGGACCTATCACTCATCACAAGACGAATACGTTTCATTCTGTACACACACACTACAGGCAACACGAGCATTACACAGGATGAGATACTCGCCCACCGACTGGGACTGATCCCCATCAATGTGAACCCGTACTTAGAACACCCCATCGATGGCACAGACGACATCTTTGCATGGAAGCCGTTATTAGGTATGTGTGGGTGTGGTACAGTCTGTGCATGGAAGTCGTTATTAGGTATGGTATAGTCTTTTGCATGGAAGTCTATACTAGGTATGTGTAGGTATGGTATAGTCTTTTGCATGGAAGTCCATACTAGGTATGTGTAGGTATGGTATAGTCTTTTGCATGTAAGTCATTGTTAGGTATGTGTGTGTATGGTATAGTCTTTGCATGATAGCCGTTATTAGGTGTGTCGGTGTGGTATATACCGCAGACGTGGTGCAGTTTTCACTGGTTTAAGAGAAAGATGGGGTGTGCACTTCTATAAGGTCAGGCGATGCCTTCGTATGGAAGTGTTTGTTATATGTGTGGATATGAAACTGTACTGTACTATACTATACTGTACTATACTATGATATAATTTTTTACACTTTTCTATACTATACTGTACTATACTATGATATTGTTTACACTATGATATAATTTAATATACTATACTATAATAAAATATAATATGATATGATATAATACACTATGCTATACTATACTAGAATATGATATAATATAGTATAGTGTAATATAATATAATACACTATACTACACCATACTACACTGTACTATCTTTACTATACTATACCATAAATATTATCCTATACTATAGAAGTACCTATTATGTATGTGTGGCTACGAGACTGTGCGCCGATTGAGTTATACCCATTTGATGATACCGCTATCGGACTCGGACAATCCAATTATATCACCTCTAAGCCAATCATATCACCTCTGATCCAATTTTATCACCTAATCCAATTACATCACCTCTAAGTCAATCATATCACCTCTAATCCAATACGACTCGCCTTTTTGTGGGTGCTATTTATCCGACAAATCCAACCCAGAGGATGAAGACCGTATGGATTGCAACACAGTGGTCTTCACCTTGCGCGTCAAGAACGAACAAGTCAAATCCGAAAAGAGGCTCCGCGGAGAATCCACCGAAACAGAACCGTACTCAGCAAAGAAGACGTTGGATGGTACGTTTTAGTATTTTAGTGTTGATTTACGTTGCATCGATATACGTTGAACTCCACCGAAACAGAACCGTACTCAGCAAGGCAGACGTTGGATGGTTCTTTTTAGTACTTTAGTATAGATTTACGTTGTATCAGTATACGTTTAAACTCCACCGAGACGGCGCCGTATTCAGCAAAGAAAAACTATGGATAGTACGATTGATTAGCATACGTTTTATTGGAGTGCTCATGCGGTGTAGTAGCCACGTGTTCTGTGTCTCTGTGTCATGTGATGTATTTGCGTATGTGTGTGAACAGATGAGCATAGCTCGCGCTGGAGTGCCCAGACGACGACAATACACAAACTGTCCTGTTGTTGCTGCACTTTCTTATCACGGACTTACTGGATGGACCTGTTTTAAGCCCATATTATCCCTATATGTATACTTGTGTGTGAATGTGTACATGAACTTACATATATATATATGTGTATGTATGTATGTATGCGTGTGTATGTATGTATGTATATATGCGTGTGTGTATGTATGTATGTATGCACGTTTTGATATGTGTATATAGCTACGTATGTAACCCACACATGCACCATGGCCAGCAAACCCTCCCTGTCTGTGCACTCAACTGCTCCTCACTCACCACTACCCAGTCATGTCGGGCGATCTGGAATGGGAACCACAAGGCTGGCAAGAGACAGGGTTCTTGGAAAACCCTATAGCACCTCTCATGGACGATATAATTATAACTAAACTCAGGCCCGGACAGGTATGAACTGATATGTGTTGATATGATATTTTTTAATGATAAGCCGATAAACCAGTGCACAGCAGAGTACGGCAGCCCACACATCATGTGCTCGGTGCAGTGTGACTATGGCTGCTTATGAACTGTTTGTAACAGTGGTATAGTAGCTATTTATAGCAGTGGTATAGTATCTATTTTTAGTAGTGGTATATTAGCTATTTATAGTAGTGGTATAGTAGCTATCTATAGCAGTGGTATAGTAGCTATTTATAGCAAAAATAGTAGTTATTTATAGCGGTGGTATAGTAGCTATTTATAGCGGTGGTATAGTAGCTATTTATATCAGAAGGATAGTAGCTATTTATAGCAGTGGTATAGTAGCT